TTTTTTTTTAATTCAGTACATGGTTTCACTACGTAGCTCGAACTCTCGGCTCCTCCTACTTCAGTCTTTGCAGCCCTGGGATACAGGCAAATGTACGCCACCACACCAAGTCTCGTTGCCAACTCAGCTTGCCCAGGAGTGGGGCTGACGTGGCCTATGGTGCCAGGGATTGAATCCTGGTCTCTATGTTTGCCTAGGCAGGCGCTTAAGACTGCTGAACTATCTCTGTGGCCTATTTCTTTTATATTTTAACACCTAAAAAGTAATGAAATGGTCACCACTATATAGTATCAAATTTTTGTATATGTAGTTAGTATTTACAGGGATTGGTTCTAGGATCCTGCTTTCTATGGGCACCAACAAACTCAGATGCTCAAATCTTTGATTTAAAATGATGTGGTATTTGCACATAGCCTATATACATTCTTCTATGTACTTTAAATCATCTCTAGGTTACTTACATTATCTGTTGCAATGTAAATGCTATATAAATAGTTGTTATACTGTATTGTTTAGAGACATAATAACAAGGAAAAAGCCTGTATATGTTAAATATAGGCACAGTTTTTTGAAAACTGTGGTTGGTTGAATGCATAGATGAAGTACTCATGGTTTTTGGAAGGACCAGCTGAGTAGACACTTGCGGTTAAGTCATTGCACTACACCATCTCCTAGGAGCTGTACATTAGGGCACAATCATCCACTACTACAGTAGTGGGAAAATATGTGATAGAAAGCACAGATTTGTAATTACTGCTGTGTCTTCAGATCCCAGCTCTGCCATTATGAGTTGTATAATATTGAGAGAGGTATATTATTTGCTTATAAAATGAGGTTTTACTACACTTGATCTTAGCCAAAAGGCCAAGAGTGAGGTTTTTAAGCAAAGGTTTGCTGGGTAAAGAGAATAGAAGTTCTCACTGATGAGTTTATACTCATGCAGGGCTTACAAATGCACAGTGGTAAGCGCTTTACTACATTAACTCATCTAAATGAGTATAATAAACATGAGATTAATAGTATTACTATTCACATTTCAAAATGAAGCAGCCAAGACTTTGAGTTAAAAATAATTTGTGCCAAGTCATGAAGCTTAATAAGTAGAGTAATCAACTTTGAACCTACGCAGGCAGGCTCCAGAACTTACCCACTTTGTCCTTTCTCACATTCCTTCTTCCATGAATTTTCTGTCTCCTTTTTTTTTTTTTTTTTGATGGAACCAGGGATTGAACTCAGGTCCTTGTGCTTGCCAGGGAAGCACTTATTCCACTGAGCCATCTCCCTAGCCCTTTTATTGATTTATTTTTTTACATTTTATTTAGTGTGTGTGGGGCGGGGCTGGCTGGCATGTGGTGCTGGAGGATCGAACCATGGTCCCTGTGCTTTGCCAAGCTTGTTCTAAGTAGGTGCTTTAAACCACTGAGCCATCTCTCCAGTACCTCTGTCTCCTTAATACAGACATACCTTGGCATATGTCCACCTCAAAACACGTCAGACCCAGAAAACGTGTTGGCACTGGCGTCAGCCTCAGCGCAGCTGTCCAGCAATGTAGAACCCCCACATACTCTGTCGTGTACTTTTTGTACTTCTCGAAGTGCTAGCCATGGGTCATAAAAACCTTCTCATACAACTAAAACTAAAAGGCTTAATTATTAAAAAATTAATATCAGCCCACTAAAATGTTTAAGTTCATCACAAGTGGTTTCTAACCACGTTATTTGTGGGAAGAATTTCTTTGGTACTCAACAGTTTTGGCAGTCATGAGTTCCAGAAGAATTAGCCCAAGGAACGTCCTATCTTGTACATATGATCTCACCTTGCGCTTGGTATTCTGACTGTCTCTGCTGCCACATCTCATACATTATTTATGCCACTGTCATTTTCAGATTTTCAGATATTCACTGTAACTGATTTGGCCATAAAACATACCACAGGTCATTAATGGGCTGAGGACTTGTTTCTGAATATACTAATAATAAAGTGTGAGAAGGTCTCTGTTATGTGTCTCAGGTATAAGGCAAGAGATGACTCTAGATTACATATAATATCTACACTGTTTTTCTTTGTTTTCTTTTCCCCTCCTTTCACTCTTTTTTCCTTTCTCCTTTGCTTCCTTCGTCCCTTTCTCCCTTTTTTCACTTTCCCTCTCCTTTTTTTTTTTTTCTCCTTTTCTCTTTTCTTCTCTTTTCTTTTCTTTCTTCAGGTTCCCTTAATGCTCGAAGCAGTACAGAAGATCGATCTCCAGAAAATACTGGTTCATCAGTGGCTGTGGATAATTTTCCGGAAGTGGACAAGGCCATGTTGATTGAGAGGATAGTTAGATTGCAGAAAGCACATGCCCGGAAAACTGAAAAGATTGAATTTATGGAGGACCATATCAAACAACTGGTGGAAGAAATTAGGAAAAAAACAAAGTATGTACTATTTTGGTAGTATAATGTGTATTCAAAGTACTATTTTTCACATAAGTTAATATTTTAAAAATCATACTAAGAACCTAACTTACAAACAATAATTTTTTGTTGTTTGTTTTGTTGTACATAGGATCTTGTTGTGCTGTCCAGGTTTGTCTCAGTCTCCTCCGGCCTTAGTCTGAGTACTGGGACTATGAGCACACGGCGCCTTGCCTGGCTTACTTTTATAACCACTCAGTTCCTAACCTTTTATGATTACCACCTGTTCTAGGTTTGTTTTTGTTGTTGTTATTTGCTGTATTTTAGGGAAGGGTCTACAGGGTGTTCAGGGTCTCACTACTAGATTGGACTTGTAGTGATTCTTCTGTTTACAGCCTCCAAAATGCTGGGATTACAGGCATGCGCCACCATGCCCAGTCTCAATTGCCCACAGGGGCGGGACCGGCATGGCAGGCCCGGGGATTGAACCCCTGGCCCCTGTGCCTGCTTGCAGGTGCTTTGATCTGCTGAGCTATTTGGCTGGCCCTTGTTCTAGGTTTTGAGAATGCAGAGATGAAAGCAAACATAAGTCTTTCCTTTAGTGCGATACAGAGTTCAGTACATGTTATTTTTTTTTTACATAATAATTGTGGATTTCATAATGATAGTGCTTTCATAAGGTTTTTTATTATTATTTTTATAAATCTGGGCCTGAAAGATATATGAGATTTAGACTTTCCTTGTTTGGCAGGACATGATAGGATAGGAAGTAGGGCAGATACTAGTATAAGACTGTGCATATGGCTTATAGCATTATCTGATTGATTCCTTGCCACTATTCAGTACAGCAGTGAGTTCTCTGATTCTGCAGTTAAGTTCCCTGGGGCTCAGGTCAGATCCCTAGGGTTGCCATTTATCCTGTAAGTGACGCATCAGGAGCTGGAGATCCAAACCCAGCTGTGACTGACTGCAGAGTTTGCACTGTGGCCAGATTCCTCTCACAAATACCATATTCTTTTAAAGAAGAATTGATAGTTTCACATGATGGGTTTTTTCCTATGCCTCTTTAATTTCTATTTTAAAATAATTTAGACTTATAGAAAAGTTTGTCTATGACTTTTTAAAGGACAGTAAGGGGACTGGGGAGATAGCTCAGTGGCATAAGTGCCTGCCTGGCAGGTGGAAGGTCCCAAGTTCAATCTCCAGTAACACAAAAAACAACAACAAAAAAGGAAACTAAGTAGCTTATTGTGGGGGATCATGCTATACTCCAGCACTCAGAAAACTGAGGCAGAAGGATCTAAGTTCAGGCCCAGCCAGAGCTACAGAGTTCAAGGCCAACTTGTACTTGTCTCAGAAAATGTAGATAATTCGGGAGATACATTGATAGGTGGGTAGATAATGTTTAATAATAGACATAGAAAATATTAACAGGAAAATAGGAAAGCAGTGTTTATGTATCGTTCATCTAATTACTGTGATAGGACAAGTGGGAAAATTTAGGTAAACATTTGTGTAAGAATTATTTTCTAATATAGTCAGCTTATTAGCCTGATAGCTGCTGCTTTTATGATTGTAATTCTTTTTTTTTGTATTTATTTATTTATTTTTGCCCCATAATTTTATTGATAAACAAAAAATAGCTATGAGACAGTTTCAAATCAAATTGGTAGGACAGTTTCGATAATTAACACATTGCATACATTCTTCCTAGTGGTTAATTGCTGTACAAGATGCGGACATCATATCCTATTTACAAACACCATTAGAACAAATCACTCTATTCATTAAGACAATGTAACTATATATCTATCCTAACCACTTT